TCCCATCTGTACCAGGGCATCCTTCCTTGTTCTTTCTTTAAGCTCTATGGGCTTTATAACTCTGTCAAAGACAAACTGTACCTTTTTTTTTTTTTTTTTTTTTTCTTTTTTGGAGCTGGAGCCCATTTATTTAATGCAGTTCTAAATTCAGGCAAACAAGGAGGCCTGCCCCTTTCCACCCAAACGAATCAGGATGTGTCCTGTTGGTTTGATTTCTCCCCTCAGCCCCCAATATAGCTGTCATTTAAACAGGGTGAGGTGGGGGGGGAAAGAACAAACAAAAAAAATCATATTTTGTGGGCCTTCCCCTTTCTTTTGTCTCCCGCCTCCCTCCTGCTGTGGAAGATGAAGTCTTGTGGGCAGTTTGGTCACTGTGGCCTTGAGCTGCAGCCTCACATTTTTCTTTTCAATTTTTTTGAATAATAAAAATAAAAGGGGTTTCTTTTCTTGGGTTATTTTTGGGTTTTGGGTTTTTTTTTCTTCTGTTTCTCTAGCAAGAGACTGTGGATGGCTCAGTGTGTCCTGGAACCTCCTTTGCATCATTAGAGGCAAAAACTGTGTAGCGGTTTCTTAAATAAAAGTATAAGCTGTGTCTTGTACCTCTTTTTGCCCTGAGACACCCTGCCCAGGAAAGCCAGAGCTACTGGATGGAAACTTCACCTATCCCTCCCACTTTTTTAAAACAGAGACCCTGTGGAGGCAACTCCTGGTCCTTCTTGTCCTACACCAGTGCGGTGAATGTTTCAGAGGTTTCATTTCTTTCTACCCCTTTCTCCACCTAATAAAGATCTGAGTATATCACTAGTGTTTGTTTGCATTTTAAAGGGTTCCAGAACCAGTTTTGCTTTCACAGCCTGCCCCTTTACACCTGCTTCTCTGAAGAACTGCTGAGCTGGGAGGGTAAGAGCAGGACATGGAGCTGCAGGGGAAGCTGAATACCATGGGTAAGGTGAGTGCACCTTAGTGCTCAGTCAGACGGCACCCTGGGCAGCACCCTGACTCAGGCCATGCTCATCCATCTGTGCCTGTGGTGTCCTCTGGCCCTGTGCTCTGTGCAAATCCCCATGGAGCAGATGGCATGGGTAAGGCAGGACTGCTGTGAGGTCCATGGCCTCCACCAGCACAGTCAGAGAGGGACAGCCCCTTCCCCAGTTCACCCTGAGCATCCTGGCCCCAGGCAGCAGAGGCTGTGTAGAGGTGAAGCTGTACGTGTCCACACAGCAGGGAAGGGGCTTCTTTGCACTTCCCACATCTGTTTCAAGACCCAGAAGAAGAAACAATGATGAGTCTGTTTCTACCATGAAAACCACTTTCTGTTCTTAGAGTTACACTTTCACCAGCGCTCAGGTCTTGTAGGATCCAGAGTCAGTGTGTTGCTCAGCTCTCCCCTCACCTCTGAGCAGCACACCATGAGCAGCACTGGCATTCCTCTGCCCCAGCTCAGGTTTTGATACTGGTTGAACTTCTGATACTGATTGAACTGCTGCGATCCCTTGGCAGCTGCTGTCCCAGTGCCACCAGCTTCAGGGTCTGAATGTCAAGGAGGGCACAAATGTTTCTGCAGGCTGGGGGCCTGGCGCCCGGGACAAAATTGTGCCGGGGGGCGGGGGCCCTGCCGCCAGGTCGTACAAGGGCTGACAGCAATGGCACCTCCTTCAGCTGCTTCAGGGCTGCTGCCTCACAGGAGATGCTCCGGAAAACACTCCCCAAAGCCTGCAGCACACGCTTGTGTTGCTTATAGGTGTAGGTCAGTCCTTGCTTATGTGCCAGGTTCCACACAGTGACAAAAGGAACACTTAGTGCTGGTGCTGGTGCACAGCAGCCCTCTTAGGCTTGTTGCAGAGCAGCTGCCAGGCAGACCTCTGGCAAGGGCTGACTGCAGCCAGTGCTCTGCTGCTCACCCAGCGGCAGTGTCCATCCTTGGCCATGGCTGTGGGCACTGAAAGGGCAGCACTTCCACTCCTGGTGGCCATGGGTTGTGATGGCCTTCAGCTCCTGCCTCTTACCCAGAACAAAGCAGCAAATGCCCCTTCCCACCTGCCCTGGGGTGCTCTGCACCCTGCAGGCCAGACTAAACAGGATGTTTTCCCATTTCCTTATGCTACTGGATCTGCTGGGCTCTTCTGCAGCACTTCCCTAGGCCCGTGTTCCTTCCCCACACTGATGATAGAGCCAAAGCTGCTCATGGGCACTTGGCCATCAAAGAAAGGGGCAGTATGGGGGGGTTCAGGCTGGGCTGGAGATTGTGTCCTGCCTCTTGTGTCTGCTGGATGGAGCCGCCAGGCAGGAGGTACAAGCCAGTCGCCATCCCTCTCAGACCCGTTGCCCAATTTTGAAACTCCTGAAATGACACCACCACTCCCCCAGCAAGGCGGTGAACCCAGAGCACTCGAGCCACAGCCACATTTGACTCAGCAGTTGCTGTGCTGCACACGATGCCAAGTGCAGCTCCTGCACATGTGCCCTGCTAATTTTAGCCTGGCTGCAGCAGCCCAGCACTGCAAAACAAACCTCCTCACTCTGGAGGTCACAGCAACCCATTGAGCTCCCCATGGAACTGGGTGATGATCTCAATTCCTCTGCCAAGCTTCTGGATGAGGTCCCAGCCCCTGCGCCAGCTCTGCTCCTACCCCACAGAACCCCAGCCCCATGGCAGCAGCAGCTCTGCCACATGTCCTGCACCCCTGCTGGGGGCACATGAGACACTGAACCATCATCCTGCTGGTTTTAGGTTTCTCAACAGCAAAGCCCAGGGCCTGTTGTCAAAGCCCTTCTCTAAATCAGTTCATCCTTTTAGTCTGGGGCTTAGGCAAGCATCTGTCAAACAGCAGCTTTATCTTCCCATCACCTTGCAGCTAATTACGTGTATGGCATTGATACTGAACCTGGGAACAGATGTTACCTAAGCCTTTATGTAACCCACGTAACCGAACGAGCCCGATTAACAGTGAAGGAACAGGCCAGGGACATCTTCATTTCACATTTTTATTAGTAGACAGATGTGCAGAAAAGACAAAATATAACTACTGAAGGGGAAGACAACACAAAAATGCATCAGTTAATTATTTCTGGTAAATTATACTGAAGAGAAAAAGAAAAAAAGGAAAAACATCTGGGCTTTCACCTAGGAAAACTACTTAGAAATCTAGTGTACCCTGCTGGTTTCAGAATGGTTGAAAACTGCATTTGAAGGGGCCTGTAGTTGCAAATGTAAACGCCAATATCAGCCGCGACAGGAGAAAAGAGTTAAGATAAAAACCCCAGAATACACAGATCAGGTAAACATTTCTTCTGCAATCTCTTAAATAGTTTCAAAAAAAAAAACCAACCCCTCATACTTCAGTTTGTATCTCCAGAAGAAAGGAAACCAGCAAGTCAACAAGCAATGACACTGCACAGGACAGCGGGAAAGAGAAATCAGTCTGTTCAATGTAGGAGCTCTCAAAATAGGTTGCTTTTGTGTTTAAAAAAGAAAAGGTAACAGAAGAGTCATGATAATGCATCTTACAACACCAAGCTTGAAAATACAAGTCACTGGAAAGTATACAGTGAAGACGGTCAAAAGTACAAGGGGAATCCTGAAAGATGCAGTATCCTCATTTCAAGCCATGAGCACAGCCACACTCTGCTCCTTTACCCTCCAAACAGCACCTGAACCATGAAAGTTGGTTTCCCTATCCCCATGTAGCCCCAGGACTGGGGGTGCCCCACACCATCGCTGGTGCAGGAGAGCCCCCGCTTCCAGCATCAGAAACACAGGGGCTGAGCCTGTCCTTGCTGGAAGAAGGATAAGCTGGGGCAGCACTTGCGGGATGCTGCAGGAGGGGTCTGGCTGCCTCCCCAGGTAACATGCAGGCAGGAGGCAGAGGGTCACGGGAGCACTGAGGAGCACTGGGGGACAAGGTGTCACCGCAGGGGCTGTTCCTGCAGCAGCACATCCCAGCCAGGCAGAGTCTTGGAAACACGTCTGCCCTGCTCACTTGCAGAGCACCCACCAGCCTTCACCGCCCCAAGGGCTGCCCTCCCCTGCTCTCCACCCAGGCTCTCACTCCCATCCCGCTCCTCCTCGGCCCCCAGAACACAGCCACGGACCTGATCACGGAACAAAGGTTACTCCCAGCAAAGCACCCCGGTGACGTACCATTGAAAGCCCTGAGATACACCAAGGGGAGGCATAAGCAAGAGCCTGAGCCTGCAGCTCTGTCAGGGTAAAACCACCTCTGTACCTGTGCGGATGGAAGGTCTTGGACCTCGGCCCCGCTGCTGGAGGTGCAGGCTCGGCACAGGAGGAGCATGCAAAGGGTGAACTGGGGCCACTGCACCACAGGCGAACACGAGCAGCGAACACGCTGTAACAGGGTGAGGGTGCTGAGCGACTGGGGAAGAGGGTTCTGCAGACACGAGCAAGCCGGATCCCCCCCTAAGCTCTGCCAAGAGCTCCCAAAAACATGCAGGAGGCTGAGCTTAGTGCACCGGCTGAAGCATGCTGCGAAATAGCCTGTCTAACCCTGCCGCTGGCCTTCTCTTATAGCCTGAAAGCACCATGTACCCCCCTCCGGTGGGCTGCACACAAGGCAGGGGAGAGCCTGGCACACATCCATCCCCTGCGCCCCATGCCCAGCAGCTGCTGCGGGCACAGAGGCAGCCTGGCCACCCCAGTCAGGCACCAAAGGCAGTTCTTTATCTCTGCCAACTCCACAGCTGCAATTACCAATGTGTGACCTACATAAACACCACAAACACTGGACATAGGCTGCAGGAAGCAAGGGCTGCTAGCAAACACTGAGGCAGGAGTCTATTGGTATCCCCCCCCTGCCAAAAAGTAGCTGAGGATGAAGGCTGACCTGCGGGGCAGCGGGATGTGTATCTGTTCTCCTCCCTCCACAGAGGGGCAGCTCCACCAGGCATCAGCAGCGTGGCTAAACTGAGCTTTCCCAACCCCAACCTAGTCTGAAAAAGAATAAACCATAAAATAAATAGCAACCCAGGGCTCAGTTGTACAGACATGAAGTGTTAAGTGTTTATTTTAGGGTTCATATCACAAGCCTTTTTCAGAGACAAAGCTGATTGTGCCCTCTGGGGCTCCAGGGACCAGCTATTTCCTATCTTGAGCAGGCTGGAAAAGGAATACTGTACCTTTCAGTGATATCCCATCAAGCTCGACACACAGTAGCTTTACACTCTCCGCCCCACACCTTATAAAGGAAAAGCCACCACCACAAGGCTAAACGAATGTACACACGCTATTATTGTAAATGGAGCAGCTAAACCTTGGCAATTTGCTTTATGTGGGTTTTGTTTTGTTTTTAATTCCCCAGTAAATGCAGCACTTGAGCTCCCCAGAAAAAAAAAACAACAACCAAAAAAACCCCAACCCAGCTTCCAGTGGGTTTATTCCAGCTTTAAATACATTAAACATCTCAATGCAAGACTGCAATTCAAGAATCTAAACGCGAGCAAACCTGTTTTCACTGTGAGCTGTTTCGTAGAGAAGTGAAAAGGGGTTTTTTTTTTTCTTTTTTTCAAAAAGAAATCTTAATACAGTGATGAAAGGGTTAAGAATGCAAGAATTCAGACATTCTGTGGAGGGTCTCTAAGAGGTCCATAAAAAAGGAGCAAACAGATCCATACAACGGGAGACAGCAGGAGACAAGAGTTTGTTTTTTTTTTTGGGCCCTCCCCCCCCACTTTTTTGCTGGACTGCTGCTATGTTACCGCTGCTCCCTTCTGGCCTGAGTCGGCAGGGCAGTACAGGGGCATGGGGGAGCAGGTCACGACTCCTCGTTGCCAGAATCATCATCATCGTAACAGTCGGCATCCTCCTCCTCCTCGTCTTCGTCGTCAATGTCGTCGTCGTACAAGTCGTCGTAAAGCAAATCCGAACTGTTGTCATTGGAAGGCACTTTAGTTTTGATGCAGTACTCTGCCAGCGTAGTGGGGACCTTCACGCCATCCTTCTCTGCCTCAGCTTTGGTAGCCAAAACCTGTTTCCTGCAGGGAGGGGGACACACAGAGTGAGCAAGGCTGCGTGCCAGCGGCAGCGCAGCTCCGGCCTGGCCAGCCCCAGCCCTCCTGGCACCTCAGCGCCAGCAGAGCTGATGTTTGGCTGAAGCATCACGAGCAGCACTAGAAACAGATCTAGTTCCTGCAGCCCCGGGCTTGGGAGTGCTCCAAGCGTGTCTGCAGCACACATGTGTCCAGCAACATACGAAATCAGTTATTCTACAGGACCCCGCATGAGAGACCTGCCAGAGCTCAGAGCGAATTCCATCACATCTGCTAGGGAAGGGACGGTCAGGGATTTCCTACGATGATTTATTGACTCCACCTCTGATGGCTGTACCCCAGCATGCTCCAAAGTGAGATTCCCACAGCTATCTCCCAGCTCTGAGCTCCTACTGGAGGGTAACAGCATTCGGAGCACATGGCTGCACACCGAGATGCTGCCGTGACCCTGGTGCTGCTGGGGCTGACAGAAGACAAGTGTTTTCTCTTGCCCCAGGACAGGCTCTGGCTCTGAGGGACCAGCAGGGTGAGGAACAGATGGCAGCCTGCCCCTTCACCCGTATCATTTGCCATACCCTGCTGATTGACTACATCCAGCTCTGCTGAAGCCAAGGGCACTGGAGGGGACTAAGACAACCTCCCAACGAGGCTCTCGGCACGCTGACTGCCCTGCACAGCTCCAGCCAGGGGTACACCCTGCACGTCCAGCTAGTGGAGTCAGTGCAGATGTGTTCTTGCCCCAGTCCCACTGCAGTATGGGCTGCCCATCTGCTGCTCCACAGCAACCTCGCTCAAGTTCACATCATCTCCCTACAGCACCTGATGAACCATGAACTTCTCAGCGAAGGACAGTCAAGACTGAGCAGTGCTTCCAGCTAATCAAACCCAGCTTTGCAAGCACTTGCCAAATCCCACTGATACGCCTTCAAATCGGAGGGACAAGATTATGATTCATGAGTGCATTAAGCACACAATTAGTAAGATGCAGTCAGTTTGAATCACATCCCAAGCAATGCAGGCAGTGCTCAAAGGCAAGAAGGGACTTCAACTGGGATTTACTAGCAGCCAATAGGTTTTGCAGAGCATCATGCCAGATTAGTATGAAAAAAGAATTTAGAGACTGATCAGCCTAGTCCTTCTGCTCCAGAAGTTTGCACTGCTTCTGTGTGCTGGGAATCCTAGAGGGACCAGAAGTGTGGACTTGGAATACGATGACAGAATTCATTTCCAAACAAACAACCACATTGAGAAGCTGGTTTCAGCAAATTCTGCAAGCAGCCTGTTTTACAGGATTCAAAGCTGGAGGCTGGTGGCATCACCCATGACAGAGCTTACCTTATGATTTCAGCGTACTCCTTGTCTTTTCCTTTACTGTCCCTCCATTTCCTGAACATGACTGATGCATCCACATTGGCAGGAGAGAATGTGTTGGGCTCATTAAGCAAAGAGATTACACTCAGTAAGATAGTCCTGGAAAAGGTAACCACAACAGCAGTCAGAGCTAACACATTCTCAGGTTCTGGATGCCGACAACTTCTTTAGGTCAGGAACTTGTTTTAAGTCATACCTTAAGCTAAGGATAACTAAGGATATTATTTGAAGTGAAAGTAGATATTTAGGAACTTTAGATGCTGGCCACTGGTATAGGAAGAATGACACAACACAAACCTCAAGGAGCTCAACAGCAGCCTTTCAGTGCTTAAATGGGGCCTACAGAAATCTGGAGAGGGACTTCTGACAAGGGGGACAGGACAAGGGGGAATGGCTTCAACCTGACAGAGGGGAGATTGAGATGAGCTCCTGGGCAGAAGCTCTTCCCTGTGAGGGTGCTGAGGTGCTGGCACAGGGTGCCCAGAGAAGCTGTGGCTGCCCCATCCCTGGCAGTGTTCAAGGCCAGGTTGGACACAGGGGCTTGGAGCAACCTGCTCTAGTGGAAGGTGTCCCTGCCCGTGGCAGGGGTTGGAACTGGATGAGATTTAAGGTCCCTTCCACCCAAACCAGTCTGTGATTCTGTGATCTCATCTGACTACAGACCACCATGTCTATGCCTGTGACAGGGCAGCAAGCAAAGTCAGGATCCTGTCCACACTACCATGGATGGTCAGCCCCTCAGACTGCTGTAGCAGCACTCGAGCACAGCAAGGGGAAGACTGTGCAGCTGTTTTTCTATATCCAGGCAAGCTGCCCAGGGCCCAGCAGGGTTTGGCTGCAGGTACGCAGCAAAGCCAGCAGAAGCCATTCACACAGACCCTTGCAGGCAGACTGCCTGGCTTCATGTCTGGAGCAGCACCAAGCTGCTAACTGCCCTGCTGGTATTTACTGGGGCAAACACCACCTCCCCGACCCAGACCCTCCTCATGCATTTCCTACAACCTTTTGCATTTCAGAGATTCAGCCCTTTGCTGCTCACACATTGCCACAACCAGCACAAAACTCAGTAAGTCCCATCGGGTGGCTCTGCACAGCCGGCTCTCTGGCTGCAGCAACCACCACAACAGCTTCACATGTCCAAAGTGGTTCTGATGTCAACAGCTCTCGATTCAAATGGAAGGGAATAACAAGAGACAAGGAATATGTCTTGAAATATAGGTCTGCTTTACAGAACTTGATTAAAGGAGACTAGAGGTCCTGCTGTACTTGCATTGATTTAGGGGCACATTCAGAGCAGCATGTGCTGAGCAGATCTACCAGATCATATATCCAGGAAATGCTTGGTCATTTGGATGCTGAGTTTCTTGAAAGGTTTTGAAACTAAACACTTGTGTCTGGCCAGGCTGTTCAGCACAGCCATCAGGAGAGTCTTACACAATTTATTTTCCAAATGATATAATTCAGTAGAAAAAGAAAAGAGCAGCTCTGGAAAAAAACTGGTCAGACTGGAATGATGGGCAGAATCCAAACCATCTTCTACTTTGTCTCAAGAGTTTATTTAAAATCCTTCGATTCTCAGCAAACAGGTGTGAAGACACCATGCGGGCTCAAGCATCCTTGTAGCAGATTACTGTAGGGCAAGCGAAGTCTAGGGAAGACCAAGGACAGGAGTTCCTACCTGGATTAAGCTTCTGCTCTACCACACTGCCACCAACAAAGTGAGGAGAAGCCAATTTCCACTGCAGCGCCCTAGACTCCAAAGTCACTGCAAAGCTACTTAAATACACCGAGGCAACTGTCTGTTACACGCTGCACTCCTCATTCCTGACCAACACATTAGATCAGCTTCATCACTGCAATACCTTAAGAGCTGAACAGGGTTTGAGCTCTAAATCAAACCCTGCTATTGTGGGTAAACAAGGTGATCCCGTGTTAGGATCTGGCAGGACCAAAACCACAAAAGAGTTCAGCTGAAATCGTCCTCAGCATCAGATGGACTCGACACAGGCTGACCCTCTGCAATACTGTCAGGAATCTCTCAGGTGAGGTTATGCTAGCATGTTATCTCATGTAAGTTGATTGCATGACCAGTGGGGATTTCAAGCCTGCCTCCTGCTTTCTTGCATCTTTCACCCCATTCTGGGGAACAGTGAGCTGTTTGAAGTGTTTACAGAGCTGCTGTCTTCAGAGTGAGTCCCTCTACATCCCTTTGCTGGCTGCTCTCTCCAGATGGTAGAGGCTCAAAGAAACAGACCTGTTATGTGTTTTTTCCTCTCCATGTATCAACAAAAGGCTTAGACACAGATGAATTTCACTGAAAACAGATACTGAATTTCATCAAAACCAGCACAGACTGGTGCTCCAAAGTACATCCTGTAATACACCTTGTTGGAAAAGGATTTTCTTTTGTTCCAGCTGCTATCCACATTGCAGCCTTTCAAAGCCACCTCTAGAGGTAGGTGTATATTTGTCCAAGCATGTTTTTGCTCTCCAGAATAAAGCAGTTTTTTGCTTAGACTCTACTGACAGTTGTGTTAGTGCATTGAGCTGGTTGCAGGAACCATCTAGATCTTAGGCAGCTAAAAAAAGCCAAAATGGGCATCCTCAGGAAACAAAGCAATAGTTAGACAGGACATCACCTATCCTCACAAGATACAGATGTACCAACATCTTGAAGACTATGCTCAGTTCCGGCCTGTGCACCTCAAAGGACAGATGGGAGACAAGGGACATATGAAAAAGGGCAACTAAATGGAACTCTAAACCCTGCCACCTCTTCCTCAGCTTTACTGGATCCAGGACGTAAGAAAAGCAGTATTCTCTGTCACAGATCATGGCTGCATTCCTTCACATTTTGCTGGATATTTGCCTGCCTCATCTAGCTCTGAGTGATGGGAAAGTCCATACTGACTGTGTTTAAAGAAATTAATGAGCATACTTGGTATCATAGACGTGAAAGCAAAAATGCTCTCAAAGATGAAGAATGACATTCCCCCTGCCAGACACTTCAACCACAGTTATCTGCAGCAAACGGTCAATACTCAGCAGGATTTACAACACTCAGCAGCTGAAGAGAAGCCCTCGGTTACACAAGCAGCTCATTACAAGCATGTTCCCCTTCCACACCTTCAGCCCTGCTGCCTCCTGTCTAACACTCCAGAGCTATGCAAAGCCAGATGGGAACCCAGCAGGATGTGTTGCTATCAGCACTCAGCCCAACAGGTGATGCTGGTAGCAGGCTAGCAGTTAAGAACAAGGTTTATTTCCACTGGCAGATAGATCTGAGGAATGTTTGCTCCCCAAATGTCACCCTTAAGCCCTACGTGTTCCAATAGAGTAAGAACCAAAGACTGCAACGTGGTAAAGGAGAGCAGAAATCAGAACTAGCGCCATAAGAAGTTTCATGTCAATCTTTAGGATTGTATATAAGGAAATGTTCAAACTGTGTGCGCGATATAAGTAATTAATACCCAGAGCTGTCCCCTAGCTATGAGTTGAGACTTGTCACCTAGTCAGTTCTTTATGGTAGCATCTTAAAATGAGAATGAAATTCAGTTGGTTTTCAAAGCACGGAGGGGTTAGCCTTGAATGCCTCTGGTACTCAGTGATCTTTCATTTCTTTTTGGCAGGAAGAAAACTACCTGGCTAACTGTTCAACACACCACACTGCAGGGCAGGAGTCAGACAAATACTGCAAGGCAAATTCATGCCTAGTAGGCAGATATATGTACTAAGTTACTCCTACTGGGTCTGAATACTCTTTTCCAGAAGCATTACCTTGGGGGAGTTTGAAAACCTTAAGTGTAGGACAACATGGACTGGGAAAGGCTAGGACACTGGAGAATTTGCTTAAAGAGCATGAAACCCTGTGAACAGGACAGAAGGCTCCACACTGTTAGCCCAGTATCAAAACACACTGCAACTCCAGTACCTTCAGAAAGCTTAGTAAGTCTGGTTCCCATTTGAATCAAGCCCTAAACCCCCCCAAATTTCCTTTCAAAGCCCTCCCAACACAAGCCTTAATCTTGGAGACGACAGTATCCTTTGAGGTCACTGTTGCACATGAGATTTACAGTTACCTGACATTTTGGGTAGGGTTCCACCTCTCAGATGGCAGCTCTCCACTTTGTGGGTCATCTACAGGTGGGTGAAGAATTGAAATACATACATCTCCATTCTGCAAGACAGAAACAGAAATTGAGAACTACCTGGTTTGAGGCAGAGGTCTGATGATTCCACCCTCTATGTTACAAGCAGTTTAACCTGGTTGATATGAACACCCCACGTGCCAGTAAAAATGTGCAAGAACTGGAAATGGTTCTCAATTCTTCCTGGGTCTATTCTATTTATACACTCAAAAGTTTCCCTTTTTAAACAGGGTTAGTCTGAAAATTGGTACAAAGCAATCTCAAGTCAAAAGGTTTAAAGAATGTAGCAGAGCAAGCAGGAACAGTAATAAAACACAGAAAACTAAATTGGTTTCGAGACAGCATGTACTGTCACAGTGACAGACATCAGCTTTAGTCACAGGAGACCCAAAGCAGGGTTAAAAAGTTTTCTTGTTCCCAGTGGTATCGAGTTAGCTACAGGAATTTCTGAATTGAAGGACTCAGCACTCTCTCTACCAGCTCAGGTATCAAAACAATGGTCCTCCCAGGACACAAGGAGGTTGAACAGACAGTGCAGGGTAGGCTTACACTGCTCCCTTAGGACACAGCTGCTTGAAATAGTAGGAGAAAAAAGCAGGGGATGCTCTCTGAAGGTTTCAGTGAAAATGCCTTCCAGCATGCAAGAGAGGAAGAATATTCTGGCAGCATATGGAAGTCATACAGCCACATAATCCTCAATCTGTGTTTTACTCACCAATGTCACAGCCCAAATATAGATTTAAAGCTTTATAAGCTCCCATTTATAAACACTTTAGGAAGCCTGTAAAACCAACTCTCCATCAGCAACAGCACCCTGACACAATTACTTTGTAGGAGTACTATTGCAGTATTCACCACAGCTGATATTCTCCACTAAAGTTGACTCCAGGGACTCATGAGATCCCAGTGTCTTATGTCAGGATGGGATGAATGTGCAAAAAGGGCCCAAGGGTTGCCAGCAGATGTTGGCCTCTCTGGCTTCCTGGCTGGTGGGATGACCCACACCTTCAGGTGGCACAGCCTCAGCAGAAACTGCACTCATGCTGACCCTGTCACCCTGATCCAAGGCACAGGTTGATGACAGAGGATCAGTTCTGTTTGAGATTGCAGGCAGCAGCTCCCCATGCATCTGGTCTCAGCTGCATCCTGACAACCCTCCAACACTGCTCAACACACAGGAGCCAGAGCACAAATTAGTACTGCTCAGTGATAGCATCCGTGCCTTTGAGCCTGAGCCAGTGATCACACCTACAGGTAGCAGCAGCTCACATGAAGGCCCTCCCAAACATTTCAACTCACCTTCAATAAACAATGATATTTGTTTTGCAGCCAAATAATATCCTACTTCAATGTTGGAGGCTGTGATCAGTATCCAGATTTCAGTGGCTCACTAACCCTGCCAGGTATGCTAACCTAGCAAGCCCTTGTCATTCTGAAGCAGGCTTTTGTCAGGAACACAATTACGCACAGCAACATATTACCTGGCGCTGCTGAATACCCAAGCTTGCACTTATGTTGCTGGAACAGTTTGCCCTAACAAGGCAGTTTGCTTTTTATGACTCCAGTGGGCTTGTGCAATCTAAAGATATTCTTTAATATAAAGTTAAGGTGAAGATAACCTTACTAATGTCAAGATTATGTTCACAGCCTATGCTGGTTTTATTGATTTCCCTGAATTTATTGAGTTTTTTCCTTTATCCATCTCCTGGGGTAATACAATGCTGGTGGCCAGGAGAAAACATCACAACACTTGGGGAAGTTTCTCAAGTAAACAGCTCAGCAGCATGTGGATGAGCAACTATTTGGCAATACGAAAGTAGAAAGGGAAGCAAGGACACGAGAAGTTTCTCTCTTGCATCAACCATTGTTACGTGTTTGGGAGTTGAAGCAGGACAACACTGCATTAGAGGCTGGAAGGGTAAAAGTGTCATGGAGCCTGATGAGATCAGCGCAAGGTTTTAGGGATCATTGTGGTCAAGGGAAGAGCCTTTGCTTAGAACCCAGGAGGGGGGCCAGAAAGCAAGGAGGACAAGGTATTCATCTGCCAATGGGAAACAGCCTATACCTCTACTTAGAACTCTTATGTCATAAAAATAAAGAGTAAGTTAATGCAGTTTTACCAAAATTCAGCTAGATGACCTAATTAAACTGGAGATGGGGAAGACACACGAGTTTCCAAGTGTCACTGCTGAGAACTGGAATATCAGCCCCATCCTCTCCATATAGCCCCACCAGCAGGTTCTGTAAACTGCTACTTTCTTTCATCTTCCTTACACTGAAAGGATTTTTCCCCCTCCTGACAAACCCTCAAACCTCAAGCCCTTTGCTGATTTAGTCTCAGTTTCATTTGGAGTTATCCCAGTGCCCCATCGTTGTTGCTTGAATGTTGTTTCCAAAACAGCCTGCAAGCTGCTTCAGATTCCCTCAGCTCCAAGAAACACTGCTATGAATACAAAGCCAAGAGATGGAGTATTTGAAGAGTAACCCCAAAATACACCCAGCAAGTTCTGGGTGAGTTTCTCCTCCTACCTTCAGTTGATTCTAGAGCCAATTTTTCATCTTTCCCACCAGGACTGGGAGAGGCCCTTTCCAAGACTCATTTTGTACATACCAGTTCGGTAACCATTTCCCACTCACCTCCTGCATGAGAATTTCTGGATTCAGAATCAACATCCACAGTACGGATCTGCAGGTCTCAAAGTTATCTTTATTTAAAGATCAACTCCCATGTAACTGAAATAGAGCCTTAAAGAGAAACACCATCCTTGGATACGTGCCGAGTCCAAAACTCAAGTCAGGAGACTGTCAGATGATTGATCTAAGAAACCCCTAAAATTGCCGATGCTGATGACAGGGCACTTCAGCTGGGGCTGCCTGCTGCAGGTATGAGAATGGCTCCATCCCAACCTACAAGAACAGCATTCCCTACAACATTTAGATTTAACTGCCCAGCAATGAGGCCGACATGTAACACCAACTTTATTTGATGATAACCACTTCACTTACAGTTAGAGACTTTAATATCTTCAATAATTCCAAAAGTTTAAGGAAGTAGAAAGCCTTCTCACATGCCTGAGAGAAAGTTGCTTAAAAAGCACCTTACCTCATAAATGTTGGGGTGCCACATTTTGGTCAGGAACCTGAAGGTAGGTGGTGAATATGGATAGTCAATGGGAAATTTAATGTGAGCCTGGAAAAAGCAAAATACTTTAGTTAAGAAACAGAACAAGTAAAAAAGAAAAAAAATAAAAAGATAAACAAGCAACAATTACAATGAAAAATTGGAAAAAAACAATTTCAGTTAAGGCCATTAAATTGCTCATTTTATGAACAGTGCCCATATGACGCCACAGTATAACTACACTTATTTCTTATTATCAAAACACTAACTGTACAAGAAAAATCTAAACGGACTGACCTGGGCTGGTTATTGCTCAAAAAACAAGCCAAAGGGCATCTACCACATCCTAATTCAAGAGGATCTATTCAACAATTGTTGTTAAACAGGGTTAAATGGATTTGAAAGCTGCTACTCAAGATACTACTCCTGCATTTATGGGTTCAGAAGCAGGCTAAAAGTGTTTGCCAACATGAACAGACCTGTTTTACATTTGCCAGTGCAAAGAGCTTTTTTGCCTTTCTTCTGTGAAACTTAAGCTGGTCCATCTACTCATTGCCCTAATACTACATTTCATGCCACCACAAGCGTTTCCAAAGTCTGAATACCATCTCTGTCTAACAAATCACTGCAACCAAACTGATGAACCAAATACTGACAGGCAACGACAGCAAACACCATCTTCCAGTGGTCAGCAGCCAGATGACCAGTCGGCCAGTCTTGCCCGTAGGGCGAGACTAAGTTAGTTGTGGGAAGACTGCAGAGATCCCAGCACCGAGTATTAACTTCTCTGTGCCGTCCTGCCATTCACAGCAGTCAGAAAAGCCAGACAGCAGAATAAAAGGACTGAATCTGGACTAAGGGGGACTTGCAGTGCTGCTTGTTGCGCTGTGGCGCACAAACCCTTCCCTTGGCACTGGTCAGCCTTCCAAGAAAATCCCACTACCAGTCTAGTGTAGGATCTCCAGGGAAGCATCACCACAGCCAGGCTCTCACGTGACTGAGAATGCAAGAAGAGGTCCCAAAAGCAAGGTGCATGTAGTGAGAGGAGAATCCCAGGCCAGCCCCTTCCACTTAAGCATCTAGTCATGACACCTGGACCAGGGGTGCTCTGCCCCTATTCAACAGCTATGGGAAGTTTTATTCCCAGAAAGAGAAGCAGACAACCAACCAAATAGGATTACTGAGCCACTAAACACCTGGCTACAGTTTCACTTCTAGATCAGCATATGCCTTTGCATGCAGCCCAAGTTTTATGGAGCCAGAGGGCCAGGCGGACAAGAAAAGAAAGGTTTTCTGTTCATCTTTATGAAACAAATTCGGCAGCTCATGTGTCTTTACGTTCTCTACATGCCTGCTCATGATACTGACTGTATGTGGGTATGTTACAGCAGCACTCAGCCTTCACCCTGCAGTCATTTGCCACGGCATTCTCTAAACCACAATATTTATGATCTGCTTAAATAATCGTAGCCCACAGACTAAGGTCAGTTACACGAATGGCATTGCTCCCAGAAGAGCAAGCAAACGTCTCTTGTTACCACCCTGTCTCAGAAGACAGCAGTTGCTGCAGCAAGGACATGCCTGGCTCTACAACACGCTACCCTGCACTGGGAACAGAGCAGGGATTTATCGAGGGCAGAGCAGATTCACTTCAGCTCAAGCACTTGCATCATGTAGCTGAAGACTCCTACTGATCACTGGGATTTTCCCAAGAAAACCCATTCCTGTGCTTACGTGCAGTTTTGTGAGATCCAAGACATAAAACAGCCCAAGGACTGAGATTAAAAATGCAAGAGACGACAAAACTCAGCTACAAGACTTCTTGGCAGAACCTTTGTGTCTTCTACACAGGTATAGTTTCTAGGTGACCAAAAAAGCATACTGACAGTATTGTACCAGCATTACGTTTGTATCACACACATGTGGCCAAGGAGCTGAGGGTGCAGGTCTCATTCCTGTCAGTAAAAACCCCCTGCTCTCAACTTGTCTAACCCTGAGAGTTCCACCTCATCAAGACCACTGCAAAAACTGAGCCTGGAGCACCAGTTATGGTCTCTGTGTGATGCAGACTCATGCAGAAGCTGTACATTCCAGAAGACTGTTTCAATCTTCCAAATCCTGTTTTGCAGCCACAAGTCTTCAATGGAAAAGGGCTATCTGCCTGCAGTAACAATCATTACAGAATTAAATAATAAAGCTGATGTGAAGGATGCCTCTTGATCTCTGGGGCCAGAAAGTGCAACTGGAGAGAAATCAAATCTTTTCTTCTCATGTGGAGGCAGCCAAGTCTGCCTGTAACCTCTTGCACATTTAGAGAAATCAGTCACATTACTTGTTGATAAGCCATCTCCGACCAGCCTGTGTTCAGCACATTGAGATGCTGCACAGAGTGTAAAGCAAGAGCAGCTTCTCTGCAAACCTGATTTCAGAGCCAAAAGCCACCAAATTAGGAAACCCCACATTACAGGCAGGGATTTTCTCCAAACAGAAACTCAAACATACATCACTTTCAGGTCCCTATACTGAGACCATCCAGAATCTGAAAAGTGAAACCAAACACTTTTCCATGGCATTACAAACAGGTCCTATAGAACTACTTTGCATCTCTTCTGTAAGAGAAATCATGGGAAATTATGTAAACCCACTCTGCTCTCACTGAATGCTATTTGAGTTTCTGAGTGGGTTAAGCAAGCCAAGAATTTCCAAGACAAGCTGCAAGACTACTTCCAAAGATGCATCAACAGCCATGACTCCAGGTCATTTTTTTCACTAAAAGCCCAATTCTAAACATGTTAAGAGACAAAAAGACCGAATTAGGCAATAAACTTATTTTTAAATAGAGTTCACAGGAAGCTTTCCTCCCTAAAATTTCACTGATGTAAGGCATATCAGCCATCTGAGCTTATTTCTGGTAAATACAGCCAGGCTGCTAGGTTCCAAAGAGTGGCAGAGTTTTAGGGCAGCTTGTTGTCAGCTCAGTTACAACCAAACTAATTTAGTAGGACTAATGATGCAGCTCAGTTCCCCACCTACAAGTACCCAACCATTACAGCATTCACCATGTGATTGACAGCTCTAGCTGAGCTTAAACTGAAGAGAAATAATCCTATTTCAGTGTGCTGATTTTAGCTGCCTGCTCATCATGGCTCTTTGACACCACTGAACACAGTCAGTAGCCAAGAAGGTGGTGACCACAGTCATCAACCCATACCCCTCCTTCGTCAATTTATAACTAGGCAGACTTATAGTCCATAGAAGAGAATAAACTCCTTTGATGTTACCTTGAATAGACTAGCCTGGCAGAAGATTCAGCCCTTTACAGGCATTTACAAACTCCACAAGAACTTCCAACCTCTAAATTACACCAGGACACATGTTTTAAGAATATTGCAGCTAGCATGATCACTCTGTTTCCTATTTTACTGCCATGCTCCATGCATCCTCATTAGTGACAGCACTTCAGGTCTGTTATTTTTCTTTTATTTGAGTAAGGTAATGCCATAGTGAAATCTATATATAGTAGAAAAATACAGTTTTACTAAATGCTATGTTATTTGACTGAAAATACAAACCTAATGTTTCTACCGACCACTGAATTAATTCTCAATTCAGTTGCTGTGAATAATTACTACAGTGACATTATTTATGGAGATATTGCCTGTGCATTTGAGCCTACACTTACACTTGAGCCGCAAGAGCCCCATGCACCGCTCCAGGCTTAGGGAAGAGTGGCTGGGAAGTTGCTCGTGGAAAAGGACCTGGTGGTGCTGATTGATGGAGCTGAACATGAGCAGCTTGTGCCCAGGCAGCCAAGAAGCCAACAGCATCCTGGGCTGTATCGGCACCAGTGTGACAGCAGGGCCAGGTCAGTGATCTCATCCCCCTGCACTGCCCCCTGGTGAGGGTGCACCTCGAATCCTGTGCTCAGTTCTGGGCCCCTCACTGCAAGAGAGACATTGAGGTGTTGGAGCGGGGCCAGAGAAGGGCAACGGAGCTGGTGAAGGGCCTGGAGCACAAGTGTGATGGGGGACGGCTGAGGGACCTGGGGGGGTTTAGTGTGGAGAAGAGAAGGCTCAGGGGGGACCTTGCGGCTCTCTACAACTACCTGAAAGGAGGCTGTAGTGAGGTGGGGTCGGTCTCTTCTCCCATGGAACAAGTGACAGGACAAAAGGAAACGGCCTCAAGCTGCACCAGGGGAGGTTTAGATTGGATATTAGGAAAGATTTCTTCACTGAAAAGGGTGTCAAGCACTGGACCAGGCTGCCCAGGGCATCCCTGGAGGTATTTAAAAGACATGCAGATGTGGCTCTTGAGGACATGATTTAATAGTGGACTTGGCAGTGCTGGGGTAACAGTTGGACTTTATGATCTTACAGATCTTTTCAAACCTAGTTGATTCTATGACTAACATTATACTAATATCATCTCCCTCTCAGTGGGGAGCTCTAATGCAGGCAGCAGGACTCCCACCTAGCTTCAGCTGTCTAGAAACTTGGTGTTTATTCCAGCCTAGCTCTATACGACACCTCTGTAGTCTGACACTGATTTCCTCTATTTCTCTCAAGCTGACAAATCCTGTATTTTTAGGCAGCAAGGGTAAGAACGGTGAATCTGTCCTATCTGCCCACTGCAGAAAGGCCATGGGGTTAGACCACACATTTCCTGGAAAGCCACCAGCATCACAACTGACCTGATTTGAAGAGCACCATCTGCTTTTACAGTAGCAAACAGAAAATGCAGCTGCTTGGTGTTTCTGGAAGTGCCAGCTAAAGGTAATTTTTATTTTAAAACATCACCAGCTTAATGTAAGCCCTGTGAAAAGGCAGCATCAGTGAAATTAAACACCCTTTGCAAGCATATTTAAGATCAGATGCAAAGGAAACGTTTGCATTTTTAAACTCTTTTGTGGGTTTTTTGGTAATTATCTCCTACAGCCAGCCCACAGACAAGCTCCTACTGATTCCATGTGCAGGTACCACCAAGATCTTCCACAGATCACCCACCCTGCCGCGGTGAGAGTCGCAGCACTTGCAGACACAAGGCCTCCTCGTTTTTCTTTGTAACAGGCATAACCA